GAGATCAACATAGCATTTCAACGTTCTAAGTACTACATATGTAAAGAGTACAGCAGTTCTGGCATGGGCTTACATGAGTATAACATCAAGTCAACGAAGAGGTGGAAGTCACAACGAACCAGGCCAGAAGTATCGGTAACTCTCCCGCGGCTTTCCTCACCCGTAGAAGAAGGGGTGACCCAATATTCTACCAATCAGTAGATTGGTTGTGCTGTCGCAACTATACTAGCGCCGATGTCGTGATCGGTGTCTAAAATTTCTAAAGGCGCCTCGACGCCCTGGGGCTCCGGCTTGCCGCCTGTAAAATCTCATCTAAGCAGATCGCGCAATACCCCCAGCTCCATATGCAACAGCTTTTTCCCACACGAACAACAAGCAAAGACATCCCGAGAACCGGATTAGTCATGGTAGACACGGAGAAATGATACGCAAATACACTTAGTAACTGGGTTGACTACGGGAATTATAGTAGAGATGTAGGTATGTCAGTACCGACTCGGTCTAGAGGATAGTTCCTCCCCATTGTCCCCTTTTATAACTTGAACAGCACCTCTGGCGCTTTTCCCCATAGTGATATCTCCTAATCCTTCCTCCGGTTCTATGCTCTTTTTCCATCGTTGCTTTCTCTCATCATCCTGAAACCCCTTGACGTCTTCTCAGTATCTCGTAGCGGTATAATTCGTATTCTCGTCTTGTTCTAGCCGCTAGTCCTCCCAAACCTTTCAATCTTTTGCCCACTTGACTTGCACCTCCCCCAGCCAAAACGCATCTTCATAAAATAAAATAATTCGAGATGGGGTCGTCGTCATATGTCGAGCGGGCCTCACCACGCCACTCCTCCAAAGACCTATCCTCCACAACCGATCTGGAATCAGGATATGCCTCAGCATCGTCGTCGACGGCAGAGTCCACAAGTGAACTGCCCCAAGTGGCGCTCACTGCACCGCATGTCAGACACCTCAACCAACAACTGGAAAAGATGAACTCCATGGACCGGCTCCGCTTCGTCAAGATTTTATTTCCCAACCTATACCAATCAACAGCCTTTGGCCTCACCGGCCTAGTATCCACAGACATGCTCTCCAAAATCGAAAAGGAATCGCCTGACTCGTCGCCCGTCGATCTCATCTTTCTTGATACGCTGTACCATTTCCAGGAAACATACGACCTGGTCCAAAGAGTTAAAGATCGATACCCCAACATCAAGATCCACACCTTCAAACCCCACGATGCCAACACCACCGCCGAGTTTGAGGAGCGCTATGGTGAGAAGCTGTACGAAACCGCCGCCGAACTATACGACTGGATCGCCAAGGTCGAGCCGCAACAGCGCGCGTACTCGGAACTCAACGTCGCTGCTGTCCTAACCGGCCGCCGGCGATCGCAAGGAGGCGAGCGTGATAAGATCGGTGTGTTGGAGGTTGACGAGGAGACGGGCATCGTCAAGATCAACCCACTTGTCGACTGGACCTTCGCCCAGGTCAAGCAGTACGTCACTGAGCACAACGTGCCTTACAACCCGCTCCTAGACCGCGGGTACAAATCCGTCGGCGACTGGCACTCGACATCTCCCGTGTCTGCGGGCGAAGACGAGCGCGCGGGCCGCTGGAAAGGCCAGGAGAAGTCCGAGTGTGGCATCCACAACAAGAAGTCGCGGTACGCGCAATATCTGCAAGAAATGCAACGGAAAGCCGAAGAGGAGCGGCTTACCGCGGCTCTCGAAAGCCTTGAGCGAGAGCAACAAACGGAAGTCACGATATGAATTTGAGGATAGGAACTTACTATATATAAATCGGAGCGGGAAGAGGACATTTCACGGCGGGCCAGTTAGGATGCGCATACATATGGTTTCGGTGGCCGGGACCTCGGGCGATGAATTAGAAAGGGTGTTCATTACAATGCGACGGCGTTCGGGCGTACGCTGCTCTCAGACGTGGGCAAGCATATTTAAGGGATTGATTATCCAACTAGCAATAACTTATAAGAGCATTATATTGACAATTGTGTTATACATTGAGGCATGGTCCGATATTCGACGTGCACTCGGTTAAAATAATGAGAGCCGATGTGCGTGTCTATCGGGTGCTTGGCACCAAACAGGAATGGACGGGATCAGGGTCAGCCTCCAGATCAGAATCTGTGCAGGGGAGGACAACAACCCCTGACATCAGCTGAGCCAAAATCACCACGGAATATATATAGTATACACACACACACACATATATGTACCTATATATACCTATTCATCAAGTTCAAGATGGGTTTCCTATTTCCAAGTCTTGGTAGCTTTGAATTGCAAAAGACTCGACACATATAAACAACATAAATCACATCAGAAATAATGACACGGAAATATTCCTTCATATTTACCCAATTCTTCTTTAGGTATACAAGGCTACTTTACACTATTCGCAGGTGCAACCAGGAAACGGAACATATCGATATAATATGCTTCGTCGGGGTTATTCAAGAACAATATACTGGAGGAAATCAAGCTGCCTTCGTTTCCGGAGCAGGTGTGGCCTCCTTTGGTCCACCTTGCTGGTCTAGGGCAGCCTCTAAACCACTAAATAGATCGGGACTTTCGGGTTCATTCTCCTCTCCGCCTTCTATGGTAGCGCTTTCGGTTTTGGTATAAATATGTCCAGGAGCCAGTAGGTCATCGGCATATACCAGGGCCGGAGCTGGAGCTGGAGCTGGAGCCGCTTCAGGAACGAGTGGTTCTTGATTCGTAACCACGCTCACGGCTGTCTCGGAAATAGCCTCTTTAATTCCCTGTTCGGTATTCGTAATCTCCGGCATAACTATAGACGGAGGTGAGTGATGCGTAGAAGTATCTTCGCCTCGAATAGGATCTATAGTTGGTAACGGATTAACCGCTGGATCATCCGACTGTTGCGCTTCTCCTTCCACTACGGGCGGAACCAGGGTCTCCGTCTGCTCTTGGCGAGGACCATCCGTCATCTCTACGTCCGCTTCAAGCTTTGCTGTAACTGATTCTGCTCCCCGGGGAACTGGTTTAATGGGACCAGTTAACGTCGGAACGGAATCTAATGGCACTTCCGACGGTCTAGTATCAGTTGTAGCGATTGTACTTGCGATTTCTCCGATCGGTGGAAGTTTCGGTGATAAGTCGGTTGGTGATGTTACAGCTACAACATTTTTGAGCGGGCTTCCTTCGAATTGCGATGGAACATGCTGTGGAAGAGGTTGAACTGGGTTTAGGTCAGAATTGGGAGGGGGCGACGGCCCCTTCGCTAGTGACGACCCAACACCGGGCGATATTTCCGATGCTATCGTGTCAATGAAGGGCTCAGCCTGAGTAATCGTTGAAGGAACTTCAGCGACGCTATCAGGTTTGGTTTCGCTTTCAGCTCTGAAACCCGCTGCGCTCTCACTATCAGGCATTTCGCTGTCCTCCTCGTCACCATCTTCACCATCTTCACCATCCTCTCCATCCTCTCCATCATCTTCTCCATCGTCCCCGTCATCGTCGTCGGCCATTTCGCTGTCCTGGTTCTTGGCTTCAGACTGGTCGTCTTGTTTGATATTCTAACAACAATTAGTACGTGATGATATAACCGGATAAAGCTAACTTACATCAGATTCTGTAATATTAAGTTTAGTGCCATCCATAGTAGTATCCGTGCCTGCTTTGGTTGATTCGGGGCGTGTGTTTGTTGGCAAAGGCACCTTCTTCTTTCGTCCTCGGCCAGGTCCCTTAGGCTTTCTCTTGGGCGGTGGCGGCCGTCTTCGGACCGGAGCCGCGGCGACAGATATTTCGCCATTTGCAGTAGTATTAGGCACTGGCACCACCGTAGTGGATATGATCTCCCCATCCACCGGCTGACCTTCATTTAACGTGATTTCTTGCGTGTAAGGATTTCCTGCGGCGTCGATGCGGCGGACAGTAGCCTTCACTATGATCGGACTAGATGACGGGCCAGCCGGAAGGCTGGATGATAGCGTGATAACTCCTTTCCTCCGTTTAGCCAGGTGGGAGACGGTGGCGCCCTCAGCATTACGGGCGACCTGCTTCCAAACTTTGACTTGATAGCCTTTGATGCTTGGATCCTCCTCCTTCTTCTCTGGTTTTTCCGCTAGGGCGGCATCAGGATCAACCTCCTCTTCTTCCGCGGGCGCTGGCCGCTTGTATAGCCTCCCCGAACGAGCTGCCCTTAGCAACTCTTGAGTATGTGTGGGAAGCAGATGCGAATCTTTGGGCATACCATGTGGAAGCTCGATCGCCCATATATCATTCTTCTGAGTTGTGTCTGCGGGCGGAGGCGGTCCAATACTGACCCATTCTTGGCGCCATTGTCTTACGGGCAAACCTTTTGAAAATAAGATCAGCTGCTGACATTATGCGACGTGCGACATGCTGTAGAGGACTGGGAAGCAAACCATACCCTCAAAATCGTCATGCTCTACATATCCGCTACGATTTCCACGTCGCGTTTGGGTATTTGGACGAAACTAAAATTGATATCACTATTAGCTAGCCTGAACAATGGTGACTCGAAGGGTATACAGGATGTTGGTACATTAGGAGCCATTTGAAGCCATTAAGAAGCTACGCGCGATTCGGGGGGTTCTCGGTCTTTGCCGAATAAATTGGAGATTCTAATGGTTTAAATGTCTATCTCTGATATCTGTGGTGTCTGTATGAAGGGCGATTGGCGAGCCAGTGGCGGGAGCGGATGATGCAAGAAGTATTGGGACCTATCCAAGAGAGTTGACTTGCATGCGACGGAGAACAGAAATGGCTATGCCGTTGCGCAGGTGAGACTCTGAGAACGCGACAACAAATGCAACAAAGGCGGATGACTAACCATATCCCTAGTGTACGTGCGTATCCAGTCAATGGGCCCACTTATATACACGTATCACTTACATAGGTACCACCACAACTTGAGAGATCCAATCATCCCAACATCGCAGCATCCTAGTTTGACGAATCACACTTGATTCATAGACTAATATGCCTCATTACAACTCAAGCGGGGATAGCTCAGTTGGGAGAGCGTCAGACTGAAGTCCAACTTCATTCTAACATCTGAAGGTCGTGCGTTCGATCCGCACTCACCGCATCACAATTGGCTCTTCCACCCTTTAATCTTGTGAATGGTGGATAAATTTTTATATTTTTTGTTGAGTGTCCTCGTCACACCGAGGTCAAATTGCATTCAAACATGTGAAAATTATGTGTTCGATTTGCACCTGTTGTATTTTATTTGTCCTTTGAACATTCCAAGCTTAAAAATAGCGTTAAACTTAACTGTTTATTTTCAACTAGTTAATACTTATTAGAACTTACGCATTCAGTTCATGCTTTGCCACTTTTTTGGCCGGGGGGGGGAGAGGTTTTGGTTCTCTACCTAGGTAGGTATCTTCAAAAAAAAAAAAAAAACTCGAGATGGGATACGTGCCACTATAAAAGAAAACACAAAATATTATTAGACGTAAGGGGCACCTCACTTTATTATTAGAATAAACCCTTTACCAATACAGCATCGATTAATCTTTCAAAATATATTGCTATCTCATAATTGCGGTATTAACAGGTATTTATATTTTCTGCATTTGTTCTTCTCTTTCCTTCATGCTCCCATTTCCAATAGACGTAAACGTTATCATCATCATCATCCCATTTTGAAGCAGGCGTTGGTTGATATCTACTGGGGTATGTGAACTAAATAGTAATCTTGTATTTGTCATTAGAGCTAGTTAGGTACCTTACTTATACTTTTTAGGGGATTGGCAATGATAGGATGGCTAGTCTATACATCTCTGAATGTTCCGCCTCGAATGAGAAGTGTATTTATTGATTGCTATACAGCGGATAATCTGGATGACCTCTGCTAACTCGGCAAGAAATCCTAGATACATACACACTGGCGAACTATCACTCGTAAGTTCGTATAAAGCAACTTGAGCAGAATTGGCATTTGATATCATGATGTGAGATGACCTGGATACTCCTTGCCGCGCCACACGTTGCCTTGTCCGTAGGCCACTTTGTACCCCGTTTCATGCATACCGGATTCTAACCTGATCCTGTTTCTATTTTCTCCCTGCTCTAATGGGACTCGATACTCCTATGAACTAGGAGAGCGAACGTCGCAAGCCTATAATTCAACCACGCGCTTGATGTACAATGAAGTTGTAATGGTACAGGGCTGGCACGTCTCGTATAATAGAGGCGAGACGCACAAGAAGAACGAGGTGACTCTATTGTGGATAGTCTAAAGCATCGCGCAAGCTGGTATTAATCCCATCTATACAAGTTAGTCGTTGTTACCTAATCTACAGCATAACATTGATATGCTCACCCAGTATCCTTCTGCCGCGAAACATCTCCGGATTTCCCGCTTTGCTTGCCCTATTAGCGTAGGTTATTAGCGAATGTATATGGCTGCGGAAATATAAGGACCTTAAGAAACATACCGATATTCCGCCCTCTACTACTAACCGATCTATCTGATAGAATTGACTGATGACTGTTTGCCGCTGTGAGAAAAAATAGACTCGTTAACTAAAATATTCATCATGTCGTACTGCATTGTCTCCTGTTGTCGAAACAACCCTTCGATCGGCTGCAAAATATATAGATGCCGTACCTTCATCATCTGCAACTCCTTTAGTCCCTTCTGTATGAGTGTCTGTATCTCTCTAGGGTCCTGCACGCCCGCATTCTCTTGAAATGCGTCTCTCGTTCGGCGCTTCGCGTATTCTCTGAAGTTGTAGGCCTCAAACTGCTTGCCTTGACGTAGTAGCTGGCGGTACTAGAAGGTAAAGCAGTAAATATTAGCCAAGTCTATGGCTGCGGAGTATAAAGTGCGTGTGCTTGGGGGTTGTGACTGTCGGCGCACTATAGCGCAGCACATAGTTGGATACAGCAAGAGTAGAAGATAGAGCTCACCAATGATCGAGCTTGCTGCGGCAAGTCGCCCTTCAGGGCTGAGACTACGGACATGGTTGATGCGCTAAATCGTATCGTAGGTTGACGTAGTTAGATATGATTTCAACTGTATAGCCGATGGTAAAAGGCCGATTGCGATATTGTCGCAGCGATGGCTTTTAATAGCTTTTTTTCTGTCGGTTTATGTACCTATTTACTTGCTCGGTCAAAAATACAATCGGCGCCGAGCACGGAAAGCTTTAGGTCTCGGTCTTCCAACTAAAATCAAAATACCCCTCGGAGATATTAAGCTTATGTAACTTTTGACTGCGGGGCATTGATTACGTACATATTTACAAGGTCACATTTGCATTAAACTACCTAACCTACCTAGGTACCTAGGTACCTAACCTAACACTATTAAGACTGTGCAACTTCAGAATACCAGCGCAGTACATGGCCTGCCAGCCTGCAGCTATATTTATTTTTACCCCTTAGCCACATATGTCCAACGCGGATCATGGTTAAACCACCTAGGCTGTGTGACAAGTATATATTGAACTTAGTATGATGCAGGCCGTTGGCCTTTATATGCACCATTCCGCTTCAGTATTCAGCTGGTCTCGTCCATTAAGTTAATCCATACAAGTACAAGAAGAGAAGAAGTGGTATGCCTATAGTAGTAGCCTTTACTTTACTATAGCGCTTATTTTCTGCTGCCACTCTGCTATAACATTGTCAAATGTGACCAGATGTTCTTCGATCCTTCTAGCGCTGTACCTCGTCTTATCTTCCGGGTTGGACTCAAGCTGTTTTTCATCTTTAACCTCGTGCTGGGCACTCTTCCGCCAAGGAATGTGGACACCGTCGCGATGATGCTGAAAGTTCTCGCTGAAGCAGCGAGCTGTGCAAAAGACGGATGGGATGCCGAGTGTTTCTAAACACTCTCGACAGAAGACTAGAACAGTTCTTCCGTCATCCATCTCGATATCCTCGTCGTGGAGGAGGACACATCTCTGGCCGGACGCACACTCATGTTTTGCTTCAACATGGGCTTCCTATCAATAGTAAGGGCTCATTCGCGACTATCACAGGGAGAGGACAGCTTACATAGCGCTCGTCTGCACAATTCTGAGAACAGAAGACAGTAGGCTCGACTCTAAGCCTATAAAAATCGACCAAAATTTGGCATAGGGGACATATAATAAAGTCTTGCGCATCAGGGGGTTTCGAGCATACCGAACACAGTGGTAGGGGGTGCTGATCATCAGGGAATGCGGTTTCTCTTGTCTTATCCTGCTGGGCCTTATCACTTTTCGCTTTGCCCAGTTCGTGTGCTGCTTTAGCCCTCTTCAGTTCTTCGAGCTGCTTATGAAGTACCTGTTTCTGATCTTGGTCACCTTTAGCTAAATGCCGGTCACGAATTATGACACTGATGGTTTCCGCGATTGGCGTCCCATTCCTAACCATGTCAATGTACTTCTGGGCTTTTTCCGCACCCGATGGATCGTGGGCGGGTTGAAAAAATATATCAATGTAGGCTTCGACCCGTGCCTGGGGTAGGTTGGTATGTTTCAGCCGTTCTATAAATTTGTCGAATGCTTCTTGGTTCTTGACGGCGCCGTCGCTAAAGGATGCCCTGAGTTCTGAAGCAAGCTGATCCGCGGATACACTCCGGTCGTTGATCTTTTGATGTAGAATTCGATCCTCGGTTGGGGATTTTGTAATATGTTGAAGTCCTATATTTTTCACTTTGTCTCTGTACCACTCTTTCTTCTCGTCAACTATGAGTTGCTCAATAGTCTTGAGATCGACCTCAAAATTATGAGCTTTAGAAAACATAGTATCAAGTTCGAGTAGAAACGACCGACGGCCGGAAAACCATTCTTTAGAAGCAGAGTTGAGATATCGATCCCTTATGCGGTTAAGGAGGCGGGTCCAACAATCTGGACACTCGATAGGATGCCTCTTGCCGTGGTCCTTAGCACAGGCCGTTTTGATAGATTGTACATCATCGGCGCAAAACTGACGCTCCTTCTGAAGGGCGATAGCTTCATCCCATGGCTCCAGCATATTTTCAGACACGCAATTGCGAATCGCACTATTATATAGGTGCTATGCGATTTTGGGTCTCATAGGACTCTGCTATGTCCCCGTGTCGTGATAAAAACGATTATGCCGTGCTGAAAGTGCCAGGCAATTTCCAAAACAAGGCCAATGGAAGCCAAAACTTGTGTGTAATGGAGATGGCAGGCTATTTATGGGACATGTGGGAATCTACCATCTGGAAAGGTTGGTGTGAGAATCTACATATACATGTAGGCGCTATGCGACGCGCAATTATACTTGGTGTATTAGATGTATGTACAGGTCTTTAAGATGGTAACTAGTAGCGCAGCGTTAAGTGGGGGGTTTAACCAAACATAGCTAATAAGTACTTAGCTTTGTATATAAATTTATATATAATAGGTATTTTTTATCTCAAGTGATTTTAAATTAAATATTTAAAAATTGTTTAAAAAGATGTATTTTTTAAATTAAGGAAATTTTAATATATTTTTTAAAAGTTTTTTAAATATTTAATTTAAAATAATTTAAAATAAAATAATTTAAAATTGATTAAAATATAATTATAATTTATTTTAATAAATTTAAATTAATTTTTAAAAAATAATAAATTATATTTACCATTTTTCCCGTTTATTAAATAACGTTATAAACATTATTTAACATTTAATTTATATATTTATTTATAAAGTTATATTAAATGTTTTTTTTAATTTTAATTTAAAACATTATTACGTTAAAAAACTTGTATATATTAAATTTATATAATGTTAAAATTAATTAATCCATTATAATAGATAAAATAACTTTAATTAAAATGACTTAAAATTAATAATTTAATAAATTTATTTTTATAATTTTTATATTTTAAATTAAAACGTAAAAAATGTTTATTAATAAAAGTATTTAATATTATAATTAATTAAAATAATTAATTAAAAGTAATGTTAATTTGGTAGTATAAAATACGTTATTTTAATAATAGTTACAATTAATATATATTTACTTATTTTAAGTGATTTTAAATTAAATATTTAAAAATTGTTTAAAAAAATGTACTTTTTTTAACTACATTATTTTTTAATTAATTAAACCTTAACACACCTTTTTAAAACTTTCTTA